GTGCGACAGAGCAAGAAATCAAGTATGGAGCGGGCCTGGCTGATTTCATGCTCGGCTGAAGACCAGTTGTTTTGGGCGGCTGCTGTGATGAAGCAGCCTGATTAAATGCCAATCTGATCATCAGGAAGTCAATACATCATCCACTCATGTGCCTTAAAGGTGGCCTCTTCGAGACAAAAATCACACTGGTCTTTCAGTTTCTTGTTTGCGCTTTGCAGTGTGTAGTAAGTTCATGTTTTTAGTATCATGTTTTTAGTTTGATTCCCTGATATTAAAGCTGGTTCTACATTTTATTTGGCCCATCCAAAGGTGTATCATGCCCCAACATGCAACAACTGAAACTAATACATGTAGTATATTACAAAGGTCAAGTCAAAAAAAAAAATCCAGTTTTTCGCTCCTGCCCACTTTCTTTTTCCCCATCACTTCCGTTAAAAAAAATCATACATATTTTGTCTGTTAGCAGCATGCAAGTTCAAAATCTTGTAAGGGTGAACACAAAAGTATTGGTAAAAGATTTGAAAAAATGGAAGAATTCCTGTTGCCATCTTAGAAAACCCGCCATATTAAGGAAAAAAGGGGGCCGCCTCTTCCCTTTTTGAAAAAGGCCCGGATGAGAAACAACTTCACTTGGCCTAACAAGTAACATGTACATGCGCGTGTACATACATGTACATGTACCTATAGTAACGTAAACATGTGGTCTAGCGGTGGAGCACAGGATTCGTGATCAAGAGGTTGTGGGTTCGAGCCCCACCGTGCCCATGCGTGTTGTGCCCTTGAGTAAGGCACTCTACCTCAATTACTCCTCTCAACCCAGGTGTTAAATGGGTACCGGCACTGTTCAATGCTGGGAAGGTAACAGACTCGCTGTGGAGGAGGTGTGGCGATCCCCCCACAGCAGCATTTCATGGACTCGAGTCTGGCCCAATCTCAGAGAGATGGGCATTCCGTTCCTGTGAATACAGGTTCGTCCGCTTTACTTTACTTTTTAAACATGTCCACGCACAGACATGTACATGTACATACACATAATTATGTAAAGGAATCCTTTGGGAGCCACTGGAAGAAGGGTACAATGAACATGTAGATGTTCTTCCAGATGAGAGCACATCAAGTAGTAGTACTCTACATGTAAAGTGGAATCCTGAGTCAAACCTCTGGGGAATTGGCTCCAATTTTGAGTTGTAAACATGTAAGCAGAGTTTTGAGTTATCCAATGGATTTTCTAAATATTCAACAAAAATTGACTCTTGATTTTGCATTTAAACTAAAAGTCATTTTGCATTAAAATTCATCAGATGGTTTTGCCTTGTGGTACAGTAAGTGAATATCATGTACGGAATTAATGCAGATACCCACAACATTTCAAGTTGGCACATTCTGGCCACTGGAGGGCTCTGCTTTTTGCAGGCAGGAGAGTTTGCAGACTCATAAGCTGCCCCTTTAAGACAATCAAAAATTGGATTAAGCGCTCAAATACCAGCAAAGAATTCCCCCTTGGGCCATTTTGAATTATGACTCATTTATTATTTCTGGTCTGGTGGTATGTTGTTTTTTTAAGCAGTGTGGTTAGTTTTAATTATCAGGCATTTGAGGAAGTTGACTGGTGAAGGTTTTTGATGCTATAAATTAATAAGGAGGAAAGGAGGAGTTATTAAAACATGTGTATTGCTGTCTTGGAAAACTCGCATCAAGGTCATTCTTACATGTATGTTCATGTGTGAAATTTCAGTGTTATTTGTAGTAAATCCCAAATTGAATAGATATATTCTTGTTGTGTGTGTTTTCTGGTGTCCGTGGTCGGTCATTTGTTATGCACCTATCAATTTTATGACCCCCCCCCCCCCCCCCCCCCCCCCCCCCCCCCCCCCCCCCGTGAAGGGTGTGTCATTGTCCAGTACTAGGGTCATCCTTTAGTGGAATTTAAATTAATCACCCTCTTTGTCAGAGTCCGAGTCTAGTACCGGTAGTAGTGGCAAATGATAGTGACAGCAAATTTATGTATGATTTGGTGCTACATGTATTTGGCAACATTTTTGACCCACCTTTCACAGATAATGCACCTACTGAGGAAAACGACATACCCCATAAATTGTTTGACACACCAAATAATGACTTGACGCACCCCTGTGTCACAGCCACGAAGAACATGACGCACCCTTGACGGACCATTTCGGGGAGGGGGGGGGGGGGAGTTCATGAGGTTGGATTTATAATTGACAGCTGCATTAAACGTCCATGTACCTTGCAAAAGGCTGACACAACAGAAAGTCTACCACAGTGGAATGTTGACTTAAGCCTCATTTAAAATCCCTTTTGACTTTTGGTGTGATTAAGTTCTGCAACTTTCCTTAAGAATCAAATAATTCAAACTGATGGATTGCAATGTCCGTGCCAAGTTACCACCTTTGTGGCACCACTCACCAAGATCTCTGTGGAGCGTGCAGTCATTTTACGGCTCCCCTGTGGGTTATAACTTCCGTGACTATGTTGGAAAATGCTTTGGTGAACGGCGTCATTTCCTGCATTGTCTCATCACCACAACAGACTTAGAGTGACGGAAATATAAACACATTCAATTTAGCAAGAATGAAGCGTTGGAAGCTGAACTGACCATGTTTGTTACTAGATACCGGTATTGTTACTTTGGCCATTGTTCTGTTGCTGTTCAAGCTGCTTCGCCCAACCTAGATCTGAGACGACGGAGACCTGACCTCATACACTTGAGCACAAGACAGTGATCAGCCTCAAACTTTTGATATCTTATAAGTTGGTTGGCATGCATCTTGGCTGTGCTGCCTCCCCTAGAGTTTGGCCAACTTCTCCTGCACACTATAGGTCACGCATTACCCTACCATAATGTGCATAGATATTGAAATTACAATATACATGTAGGTCGATTCCTACAGAGGCCTGCCACCAAGGGAGTGCCCCCCCCCCCTCCCCCACAAGCAATATGGTCATTTCTACAGTGCGCCACGAAGTCCATTTCTCGCAGTGTATTGTCGGAGACAGTCGATAAATTCACTTGGCGTGGGACGCTCGCTGACGGTCAAAGGGAAAATGTGCCACATGGCTAAACACAGTATGTAGGGCCTACATGTACAAACTCCAATGGGAGCACAGCTTTAGCCCAAAGAGGGAATATACAGCTATCTTTATTGAACCACGCAACACTTTAAATGTTGAAACAGTTAATGCTTAAAATAAACAAGTTCAGAGGCCTGAGCTGTGCGTATCAGCTGATCACCCTAAAAACATACAACTAGAAAGCATTTTTTATTAGATTACTGCCTAAAAACACAGTATATATTCCTTCTTGTGTCACTTGCTGTGGTAAATATGAATAAACTCCAATGCAAATTTGTTAACACTCATGAAAGCTTACATTATGGCTGCTCATATCTTGAATAAACATGCGTAGTACCGGGTAGATACGGTACCTGTGTGCAATTCATATTAATGGCTTGGATGATAATGCCGTAGGGCTGTGCATTGGAACCAGGTACCCAACTACCCAACTGTTGATGTCAGGAACATCAACCGTTGGTAACCAACTTTTTAAATAACATAGTAAATTCTCAGACACGAACTTGTTGGAGGTCGCAGGTTCAAGCCCTGCTCCAGTCAATTCCTATGTTCAACTTCGAAAATTATAATAACAAAGCTAGTCAGTTTATTTGAAGATTTGTAACAAAAAGCCCTTTTCTCTTTGAGTGATTCCCCTTTGCTACATGTACAATGTATTTCCCGGGTCTGCAGTATTGTTAATGTTGCTAGTATCGTGACCTTTGGGCATGATCCTGGGCTACATGATCTAGACATACAGTGTCATACACCGGTTTATGGCTTCTGACAAGCGCACCTTGAGCAAAGACACTGACAACATAGGGCTGGATAGCTCAGTTGGTAGAGCACCGAAACGGTAATCCGAAAGGTCGCAGGTTCATGCCCCGCTCCAGTCAATTTCTTTGTTCAACTTTGAAAATTACTTAGAGACTTCTCAGACAATTAATAATTAAAATGGAAACCAGGCTAAATGGGAAAACAAAACATATATCACGATTATGACGTTCGCAAAAGTTGCAGTTTACATACATGTACATCGTAAAGAGGCCCTAAAGCTCACTGTACACACTTGTATCTTGCTGTATTGAAGCACCGATGTGGTAGTATTACACTTGTAATCTAATAATGCTTGTATTATACGTGTAATCTAACAATGTGTCCGTATTTTAAGGGGGTTAGAGCTAATATTCTAGCACAATTCCACAAATACCCAACTCATTCACAAATTGACTTATTTCCGCTAATTCACTTGGGAAAATGATTCATCCAACGAATGTTTGAGGCAAACAACAGGTGGCGGGTGTTAGAATGTAACTGGTGCATGTCATAAATGCAGAATGTCTCCAGAGAGAAGAGCTATTCATAGTCACTGTTACTGATTTGTTTTTCCGGGATACAACATGGGCGATTCCTGTTCCTCAAACTAACAACAATTAGAAGCAACATTTCAGGAAGTCAGAATGACTTCAATATCCCATAGAATTCCCCATAGAATTCCCCATAATTTCAAATACAGTTTTGCCAAAACAGTCACAAATAATGTACTTAAAGTACATGTAGATATAGAAATTCTTGTGTTTCAGTTCTCTCTTGATGTTACAAAATGTTTTTGACGAAATGTGTTCAATTTCTACGAAATATGGGAATATGAATGTATTTGCGATACCATGAAAACGTTCATTTTCATGACAAGTACATGTACATTGTATGAACTGTACATAATAGGGGGCAACCTGAAGTGAAAAAGGAAAGTGTCTATATTATATAATGTACAGTTGTATTTCATTTTGATAATGTATCTGCAAACAAGTGTTCATGTTTGTTGGCAAAATGTCATTTTTGTATGTGGCTCGCATTGTTTAAATACATGTATATCGGTTGCATATTGATATTAAGCATGAGTATCACTAAATTAATTGTGTTGTACATTTGCCATCTTACAGATGCAGACACTGTTTTACAACAACTACAGCAAGTCAGACACAGCTTTCACCGGCAGCCTGGATACGTCGGACGTCCACCAAGCCATCACCTTACATCCCATCAAAAAGACTCCATACATGTACCGGCTGCACAACTACCTGCAGTCTACAGCCATCATGGACCTGCAGATGAAGACTATGCAGCTGTACCGCAGCATTCTCAAGATGCGACAGCTCTTGAACGAGGAGGATGACCATCGTGGTCATGACACGGACCCCCAGCTGCAGAGCCTGGGCTTGCAGCCCGGCCTGCTCAAGTATACCCCCGACAGCCACGAGGACCTCATACCCTGGAACTTCTTTGGCAAGTATTGGTATTCTGCCAACGCCAATGCTCCACGCCACGGCATGCTCACCCACCAAACCCAAGCACTGGATCACATAGCCAGCCAGGTCATGGGCATCATCAACTCCAACTCTATGAAGGTGGGACGGACCATCAACTTCAAGGAGATCCTGTATGGCTACTCGCGGGTGGTGCCTCTGTACGGTGTCGACTATGTGCTAGACTTGCTGCTCATGTATCACAAACACAGCAAAAGTAAACGATTCCCCGTGAGGCGGCATGCTTATTTACAACAGTCCTTCGGAAAGCTTGAAATCAGGGTTGACAATGGCGATGCAGAACCCTCGCTCTCTGCCAAGAAAGTCAAGGTGGACAGCAGTGTCGAGAAACTCAAAAACGGGATCTCCCAAACGTTGTTTGGCATACAACGCAATGAGGATGCGCCATCAAGCCGGCATCCTCTCCAACAGAATAGCAAACACAAAGAAACGATACATTTTATCCTCCCACTTGCCGGAAGGCTAGAAATCTTGCAGCGCTTCATGGAAAACTTTGAGAGGATGTGCTTAATGCCAGGTGAGAACGTGCAGATGATCATAGTGCTCTTCAGACTTCCTGAAAATGACCCTTCCGAGGAGATTGAAAAGCTGATTGCCAGATATTCTAGTAAATACCCGCAATCCACGCTAAAGATCCTGCATGCAAACGGGGATTTCTCCCGGGGACTTGCGCTGGATTTGGGTGCCTCTCAGCTCCCACCGGATGCTCTGATGTTCTTTGTGGACGTAGACATGCATATATCTCCGGGATTCCTTACCCGGTGTCGGCTGAACACGATACGGGGTAGACAAGTGTACTACCCAGTTGTTTTTGGCCAGTACAGCCCCGAAGTCACCTACGGGCCTGGCACCAAGCCCGAATCCAAACTTGCTATCAGCAAGGAAACCGGGTTCTTCCGACACTACGGTTATGGACTCGTCTGTCTATACAACAGTGATCTGGCCGAAGTAGGTGGGCTGGACTCGTCCATTATTGGCTGGGGGATGGAGGATGTGGACCTCTACCAAAAATTTGCCACCAGCAATGTGACAATCTTTCGGGCCCCGGACCCCGCGCTCATCCACATCTACCACCCAGTCGTGTGTGATCCCGAACTAGAATCCAAGCAGTACCAGATGTGTATGGGGTCAAAGGTCAACCAATATGGAAGCAGTTGGCATCTTGCCAAGCTGCTGCAGAAGGACAAGCCGAACTCTAGTGAAGAAACCGAAAGCAAAAATAGATAACGTTGGCTAAATTATTGTAGATAGTAAAGTATTTATAATGTAGTTTTATGCAGGGTGCATTTTACAACCATTTTCAAAATGATCGTGAGTAATAATCACGAGACACAAAAATAATGCAAGGAGACTTTTGAGACAAACACACTGCAAGCACACCGGTCCTGTTTTAGTGTTTGGTGCCACTTTGGACATGCGCACATTAGCTTAAACATGACCAAAACAGTTGAAAAGGACCAGTGATGTGTTTGCTGCCAGCAATCATCTCAAAAGTCACCCAGGGTATGTTTTACAGGTACATTTGTACCGCTGCCCTTTTGTACAGTGTGCAGAGATATTTTATATTGCACATCATGCAAATGCAAGCTTTTTTGAACATTCATTCTTGCCTCTGCTCATCCCCACTAGGAGTTAAGCACTGTGCACTGGAATTGGGTACGGAGTACCGACCACTGATGTCAGGAATCGGTTCCAGATTATGGGATCGGGTACCCGCAACTAACTTTACAAATCACTTAGTAACTTCTCAGACAATGAAGAAAAAAAAGGGTTTGAATGCCATTTGTGGAGAATTTTCAAGTGAAAAACCAGGCTGCATGGAAAACCAACGCGCGACAGATGACTCTTGCAAAAATTGCAGTTTACGTAAAGCTGTAAAGCCGTTCAGACAACTTCCGGAACTTTGAATTTCGGGGTTGGGTTTCTTTTCCGGGTACCCAGTTATCCGGGTACCCATGTTTTACTTCAATAGGGTACCCGGTTCCCGTTCTACCAGTAAAAGCACACCACTAATCCCCTCCCCTCCCCTGCCCCAATCTAAAGGTGATGTTGACCTCATTTCTTTGAGCTTCTCATTGGAGGAATTGTTGACCTTGTGACCTGGGCTCAACACTCAAAGGAGCATTAAGCCTGTACATTGTACATTTTTACATTGAATGAACATACATCAATCCCGGCCAGTTACCTACATGTACATGTGCCAACAATACTTTGCGAAGTTTCTGAGTGGGCTAGGGCAACCAGCACCCTTTAATTGGGCAGTGTGGACAAGCATGGAGCTATTATAGCTCCATGGGACAAGCGAAACAATCTCCAAAATTTGGTCCTCTTAAAGTCATTTTAATTGATAATCATTTGGAGCTTACAGTATATTTGTGGTCCGCTTTTTTCTTGTCCCTGTTACATCTGACGTCATTGTTTTTAGCTGTGGGATAGCAGCTCAACAAATTATCATGTCTCTCCGTTAGTCCATCAGTTAGTAACAAACGTTGACATTGTCTATTGCTCTACATATTTTGACCGACTTCAACCAAACTTATCAGTAGCCCAGCCCAAACATGTCACATGACCAAAATGGGGTCAAAGGTCATTATGCGGTCACTGGTGTCAAAAACCTGAATTTTTAAAAGTCAAACGCTACTTCCAGAAATGACATGGCACAATGAACTAGTTGGCCCGCTGATATTCCGAGATATTACCAATCGAGCTTGTTTTAATTCTAATGCCCTCTATAATGCAGTCGTCCTCCAAGAGTGATTTTGAATGGCAGACTCCATACACAACAAATAAAAAGTTGTTTGCAGTCATTCTTAATGAAACTTGAATGGCAAGCTACAAGTACCAAGGTAACGGGAACAGAATAAATGTCACACTTCGGACCATAAATTTAATATGGAATGGCAAGTGTGCATGCTTTAAACACAAAGAAGAAATTGTGTGTGCGTAGGATTTTTTAAATACGTGTACATGAACAATGTAAATCTCTATTTTTGTTTCACCTATGCATAGTTGTGAGTAGTTGCTGCATAATGTATTCCTCTGAAGAGGAAGTTTCTCTGTTCATGTGTTTACAGTTCAGGATTTGTTCTTGCATGTATGTACCGTTCATATGTACATGCTGCCAAATGGGTTACATGTATGACATATGGTGCTATTATAAGTCAACTAAACACTGCCAAATAAAAAAAACAAAAGTCCACACTCATTGGAGGGGTCATAATTTTGAATCTGATCGTCTTATGATGACATCATTTATATAGACCTTTGGGGAATTTTGTTAGCTACATTTTGATACCCTGTTTGCTACCAAAGACTGTACCGGTAAATCGTCTAAGATTTACAACGGTTTATGAAAAATGATGCAGTTTGAAAAAGGTGCAAATTTAAAGATTTCACAAGGAGAAATTGCTAAAATAGCACTAAAAGCACGGGTAATTTAATTCCGCGTGCTCCTGGCCCATGCTTGCAAGCACTGTGCGATCGATATTCCCTGCTGTTCGTTTCGGGCTGTGTAACATTGTCACGCAGCAATTTTCACTCGCATACTCTCTACATTTTTGCAACTTTTCAAACAGCATTATTTTTCCCAAACCATTGTGAATTTGGACAACTTACAGTCTTTGGTAGCAAACAGGGTATCAAAATGAAGCTAACAACATTCCCCAAAGGTCTATATAAATGACGTTATCGTAAGACGATCAGATTCAAAATTATGACCCCTCAAATGAGAGTGAACGTTCATTTATTGCAGTGTTTATAGAAACTCATTTGTGAGACGCTCTAGCAAAATGAGACAGAACTTGGCACAGGTCGTACATGTAGTTGAGAAAAATGAAGAAAATAAAGCAAATGGGGTCGATTTCTTTTCCATTTTCAGATTTACTGATATTTGTTATCTTTGATACATGTAAGTCTATCATACATATGTTAAAGAAATAGTACAAAAATTGTTGGAAGAAAATTGTTTTTAAGGGAAAACAGTTGGCATCTTTCATTGTCACGACTGCAAAACTCGAAACTTTAAAGGCCTTTTTCTCAGTATTTGACATGTCGATAAATGTGAACTTTAAACGGCCATAACTTGTCAACGGAATATCTGATTGAAGTGCAACAAACAGTATTGTGAGGAGAATTGTATTTTCTTTCCTAATACCTGCAAACCGTCATTTGACCTCCGCCCAGTTCCGTTTCATTTTGCCAGAACGCCTCTCATTTTAAACCTCTATCAATGTACAGTTTCTGACCATGTACTTACATTGTCGTCCATAACATTCCAATTGAAGTGGCGTACATTTCAAATTGACAGTGTATGGGAGGTGCATTGTGCCAATAAGATTTATATAAAATTTAATTAACGGTGCATGTTTGTAAAATGAAACGTTACATATATACCTTGCCATAAAATAATGGTCAGACAAGTTACAACTTTTTTATTGCAAGCTTTTAATTGATATATATATAAAACAATTGTGTAATATTTATTTATTTTGTAAGTAGAAGTTACATGTATATAGACAGTAACATGGAGAGACACCCCCCCCCCTCCCCATGTGTTCAGCTTAAACCGTCAAAGTTACATGTATTTTTGGGTCAGAAACTGCAATTATTAGCAGTTTTACTGGATTTTATTGGGAACATTTTATTTTTACATGCATGGAAAAGTTGGACCAAATTCTGGAGACATTTTGTTAGTGTTCCCCCAATGATGTTGTTTTTCCTTATTAATAACTGATGAACTCAGAACTGGAAATGGCTGTACCTAACAGAGTATATACATTTCTGTTTTTTAAATTTTGCATTGGCAGTTACTGTTTCTTATGAGGGTCTGAATAGTCCTGGGTCTGGAATAACCATAGTATGCCGACTCCCCCAACCAAAAATCACCCCCCCCCGGAAACAAAGCATGTTATCCTCACGAGTGCAACTTTTTGAATCCGCTTCTTTTCTTGTTGACTTTGAAGGTATGCCCTTAAAAATAAAGAAAAAAAGTTATATTTGGAATGCAAGAGACAGAAACTATGCAAAAACTAAAAAGGATTTGTTAAAAGAAACTCAGTTTTTTTTAATTGAAGAGCCGCTGATGTGCACAAAGTACTTCATTACGGACTGAGCTTACAAAGAACTTATTTTTAAAACACCGCCAATATGAAACCAACTTTTGTGATGTGTGGGCTTAAATTTTTTTATTTTTTTATTTTAAGGTTTTTCCTGTTTTTTAATTAAGCGGGGATTGGGGAGATATGTCAACTCCTAATTGTGTATGATGTACATGTACATTTATAGCACATTGGCGACTGTGCATGTACATACCCATATTTTGTTTTTAGTTGTTATTTTTTTTATGTTGGAAGTGACATGTGCAACAACACAGTTGAGTGCCTAGCCCAACGTAATTGTTATCTGGATGTATTTTTAATATTTTGTATTTTGATTTTGGATTTTTAATCAGATCCGCAACCAGCGATTGTGTGATTGTTATTGACGTGTGGTAAATTGCCTAGGCTTTCACCTGAATTGAACTCTCCTATAAAATGCTTCGTGATTTTAGTAATAAAAAATAAAAGTATTTCTGACAACTCTCATTGTCTCAACCTCCTATTCCTTCTTATAGACCTAATGCGTTAAGGCAGAGTCAGAGGGCAATGGACCGATCCAGTAAGCTCCGCCCAGTGTGCACATGGGCAAATTAACACGTGCTCCGCTCCAATGCCAAGCTGCATTTTCCTTCCGCGCGCATCATACGCGCGTGCACGCATGTCGGACTTTAGTGCACGCACGTCGGACATAAATCACGGCTGTGATTGGTCAGAACACCATGGGGCGGTGCTTACTGGATCGGTCCATTGTTTTGTATTGCATGGATGGGCATGAGGAAACTTTTGGTGCATTCATTGTTACTAATACTAAATTCAAATAACTAAGAGCGCCCTCTTAGACACCAGCAATGGATAAGGTCTATTACAGTCAATGAATACATTGCAACTTGCCTCTGATAAATGCAGTAACAAAATCATATGCAGATCAGCTTTAGTTTTACCCCCCACCCCACCCACCCAGATGCTTATCTGTGGGGAATTCCCCACCTGCTTGTGCTATCCCCCCCCCCCTCAGAATTGAACGAACCTTCAAAAAAAAAGTAGGTCCCCAAGTCCCCCTCCTTGTAGCCTTTTGCCAAGGCCATCGTGGCATTAATCGGTATTATTCTGGATGGGTGCAGAGCCCTGCAAATTTGAAAGTCCCTGCGTGCTGTGAAGCGGCTAAGCTGGGTGTTGGGGTGTATACCTACGTTCCCTAACCCTTACCCTAACCCCCACCCTAACCCCCTTGGGCAGCCAAACAAATAAGCAAATCATCCAAAAATATGTCCACATGCCTGCTCCCCCCCCCCCCCGTGAGCGTTAATCCTCCCCCCATAAGAGACCATGATGAGTCAAATTGGGATATGTTCCCCTCTTCCCCCCCCCCCCCCGACTTTTATGTCTTTTATGTCCGTCAACGTCCCACGCGTACGAACCCATTCGCTCGAACTCCCCGCCCTGCAAACCTGTTTGCAGGGCGGGGGTAGCAAACC